TACTGAAACGCTTCAAAGTACTATTGGTTGAATTCATATTGAAATAATCAATGTAAGAGGATTTACTACCTGTATGATGGTTGCTTCAGCTTATGGAGCGATAATTTTTAATCTGCCCAGTGTTACATCGTCACTGCAACCAAACCAAACCAAATGAGTCTTTATTCATCCTTAAAATCTGGAGAGAAGACTTAAGAAACTTTCATCATTTAAGGCTACAATATTTGGTTCTATATGATGTATCGAAACAGAGATTGACAAAACTGAACAAGTTCATCCATCACAAGTGTACCCCATAATAAAGAAAAATATAATTTTATGAAAATACATGTAGGGTTTTTTTTATAAAATGAAATAGATTGGTATGTTTTAAGGGTACACAAATTCTCTGTTTACAAATATAAAATGAAACTGTTCCGTAAAACCAAAAGCCACTGGGAACAAGATGAATAGCATTGAGAAAAATAGGAAACAATTACTTGTGAAATCGGAAAAACAAGCTGAACTCAATCTTTTTGCAAATTTGTAGCTTTAACAGCTGGTTGGAAAGTGTTTAATTAAATTGCTATATTTTTGTATTTTTTATTTTTTTTTTAAGCAAAGCACCAATGCAACATTATTGAGTTTTTAGGTTCCACCAAGAAACGGAGGTTAGGATTCCCCAGCCATTTAATAAATCGAACTCGCGAGAATTAAAAGGAGGGGACATACACCTCACCTCCGAAAATAAAAGAGTGCAACATATGAGGAGGTGATATGAATGGGAGAGTTTTACTTCTCACACAAAGAAAAAGCATGTAAAAGTCTCTAATGACCCCTACAGTTAGGAATGCCATGTCTGTCTATCTGAACTAGAGCACATATCTGGCGAGAAAGTTCAAGAGGTCCATAATCTGGTAATGGCGATGGTCCCAACCCTCAAAAGCAAGTAAGTCGGCAACCTGGTTCCCTTCTCAGTAGATGTGGGATACTGAATATCAATCAAAAGAAAGATGGTGTCTGATGTGTCCGAAAATATCCTGGATAGCCCATGGTCCTCCACCCCAAATGATGTAATGAACGGCCAAAATCGAGTCTGTTTCCACCCAAGGATCTAAGAACCCAAACTGTCTGGGAAGTAAGATCCCCTCCAAAACAGCATCTATGCAGGTTTTTGTAAAAATGATCCAGCCTAATGATGCCATTACTATACAAGGTTCCAGCATTCTGTTAATCGAGTTATTTTCCAGGGAAATAATATTGGAGAGATCCATCAAGAAGGCTTCATTCTTCTTCCCTGTCCTCATAAATGAAGTCAGGTTGGAAAACTCATCCATCCATTAGAGCATCCAACTTATACACACATAACTTACCCCGCTATAAGTGTGTGATCATCAGTCCCTATGCTGGTGTAGACATTAAAAAAATAATAANAATACGCGAAATCCGTCGTACAGCTGGATCCTGTATGGGGCTGGACACAATAGGCCGGCTAAGAGATTAAATTGTTATTTGAATTTAGTAGTCGGCCACAATATAATCATGAGATTGAGTCATTCAACTACCTTTGTTAGCCACACAATTTACATTAGGCCAAGAGAGGTCCATTGCCTTCTGCAGTGAAATTTTTCTTTTGTATTACACTTTCACTTCCCCGTGATGGCTGGACCATGACTTCTCTTTAGAGATTCTGATACTCATCAATACACATTCTACTGTATTCCAGAAAATAGATCATTTTCCACAGACAAAAAGTCCAAGCAATAGCTGCTTCAATATTAGCTACATGCCTTCTATAGATTCAAAGAATGAAGAAAAATCTGATTTCAAATGTTCTATCTCCATCTCCATATATATCGAGTTTATAACATGGGAGATGCACTTAAACTCAGGATGTGTTTTGTCTCCTGCAAGAAATAGTTGGCCACCATCGTTTGACTCAATCCAACTATAGCCAGGCTGCTTTTTAACACCATTCTCTTTCATGCGAACCCATATCTTTTCTGCCTCATCTTTCCTCCCACTAGCCAAGTATATTTCAGCTAGAATCATATACACACCAGAGTTAGAAGGCTCTAATTCCAGAATCTTATTCCCAGCAATCTCACCTATAGTGAAGTTATTGTGCATTCTACATGCTCCAAACAATGCTCCCCAAACACTTGCTGGAACTTCTAGTCCTAATATGCCTATCTGATCCAAAATATTAATTGCCTCATTTATAAGTCCAAATCTACCCAACAGATCAACAATACAAGTATAGTGCTCAGTTGTTGAGTGAAGAAAATACTCATTTTGCATAATATTAAAGTAATATTTACCATGTTCAACAAGGCCCGCATGGCTACATGCAGAAAGGACACCTACAAAAGTTATTTGATTAGGCTTCACATTTGATAATCTCATTTTCTCAAACATATCTATAGCTCGTTCAGCATGCCCATGGTGAGCTAATCCACATATTACAGAATTCCAAGAAATAACATCATGGCCGGTCATGGAATAAAATTCAAGTAATGCAGAGTCCATATTTCCACATCTAAAATACATGGTCACCAATGCATTACTAACAGGGATAAAGCAATCAATCCCCACCTTAATTACTTCTGCATGAATTTCTTTCCCAAGGTTCAAGGACGAGAGGTTTGAACATATTGTAAGAAAACTTGTAAATGTAGCTTCATCCTGGCACATACCATCTTCTTTCATTTTGATGAACAATTTTATACTGTCCTCACTACGATCATTTTCTCCCAATCCAAATATAGTGGCATTCCATACAGTTGTGTCACGAACAGGCATCCGTTCAAAAATTTTCAAGGCATTGTCAACATTTCCATTATTAAAGTATCCAATCATCACATTCGTCAATGACACTATATTACTAAATGAGTTTTTCTCTAGCAGGGCATGAGCTTCATTCAACAAACCATTCCTCACCAATCCCAACAAGATTAAATTCCATAATCTTTCGCATTTTTGAGGCATTTCATTGAAAAGCTTCATGGCATCATTTATCCTACCAACACTTACAAACCCACCTATCATTTCATTCCATGAGTCCCCATCTTTTTCAGGCATCTTGTGAAACAAGACTTCCGCAATCTCAACAAATCCAGTTTGCACATAACCACTGATCATTGTATTCCAAGCTTGAACATCCTTTATAGGCATATTATCAAAACATTCCCTTGCTTCTACAATTCGACCATCACCCAAAAACCCCTTCATCATAATAGTCCCGGATGCAACATCCCGCGTTCTCATTCCCCTAAACATCTGCTCAGCCTTACCAAACTCCTTAACCTTCACCAGTCCTGCAATAACCAAATTCCACGAAACAACATCCTTCATAGGCATCCCATTAAATATTCTCACTGCATCATCCATCAATTCATTATCAATGTATCCAGAAATCATGGAATTCCAAGTGACAACATCTCTGCACTCCATACAGTCAAAAATCTCTTCAGCCCCTTTAACATCCCCACATTGCATTAACCCACAGATCATAGTATTATACGAGAAAATATCACGAACCGGCATTTGAAAATACAAATCCATAGCTTGTTCAAAAAACCCATTTTGAAAATATCCTCTTATCATAGCATTATATGTGACTGTATTTCTTTGGGGCATTTCATAGAACAGTTTCTGGGCTTCAGACACCAGGCCATCTTTCATTAAGTTTGAGAGCTTTGAGTTGAATGGTTTTACGCTGGCAAGCGTTTTCAATGTGCGAATTTTCAAGAAACGTTTCAAAGAGACTGATTGAGTAAGTTTGAAGGCTTGAATGAACGTACAGTTGAAACCCATACCCCATTTATGTTGGAGGGAGGCTTTTGAAATGAAGAAAAATGACGGGACTTTATTTAATAAGGTCACAAATTAAGTTTTTTAGTTAGATGGTCTCAAAATATAAAGAAAAGGAAAACACAATTTATAAATTACTAAAATATCCTTGTATGTAAAAAGACATAATGCCCAAATTTCCCTTTCAATTTCCATTTAGCCGTAAATCAATTTTGGTTTTCTTCCTTCCACAATTGGGTTGACAACTTTCTGCAACTTTTTTCCATTTTTATCATCATTTTCTCTTCTTCATCAAATCCTAAAATTTACTATTAGCATCCTCTTAAACACTCGGTTGAAGTATGTAATCAAAACTTACAATATTCTTGATGGACATTTGAAGAAGAAGAGAAGGTAATGTTAAATTCCAATTTTTTGGCTACTTTCTTTTTTTAATTTTTTTGCATCACGTGTTGTTATTTGTATTGATAGTGTCCATTTGTCAATAATAGCTTCAAATTCATTTTATCATTGAATTGGAGTTTTGATATGAGTTGCTTTCCAATTTTTCTTATTACCCCTTATTTTTGAAGTGAATATGCTGGTAATCATATGTTTGGCTATTCTATTTGCTACTTTACTGTGAAACATACATTTCATTTTTCCGTCCAGAACGACTTACATATCGTTTTCTGCAAACCATAACGACTTACATCTCGTTATCAATAATATACTAAGTTTGATATCTGATGCAATTTTACAATTTTTATGTTTAATTGCAGTTATGGACACCATAGATATGTTATGGATTCAATTTGACT